CGTTGAGTGTTGTTTTTAAGGCTTACATTTAGTAGTTGTTTGCTGTTTTTGTTTGTAAATTCTGGGCACTTATTGTTGAAAAACAATTTCCACTCATAACTCACTCTATGTTTGGATAAAGAATTGCATTTAATTTAAATTTGTTTTGTTATGCATTTGGTTCGGTTCGCTATGTTTGCAAATGAGAGCCTATTTTGTTGTTATTATTGCCATTTCCTTCAAAATGTCACTAATTCTTGCTTTTTACGTGAATTTATTTGAGTTTTAGTTTACTCTGTTGTTTATGTAAATAGTTTTTATATATCCCCTTTTTGCTCTAATAATTGTTTAGTTTAATCTCGTTTTCTGGGTCTTAATTTTTAGTAATCTGTTAATTGCTGACTGTGTTTGTGTTTCTATTTGATTTGATGTATTTTCCGCTTTTTTAGTTATTTTTATTTTCATTTTAAAGTAACTTTTAAATTAGTGTTTGAATTATTGATTCGTAGTTATTCTCAGTATTGTATTGATTTGATGCTCAATACCAGTGCTCTGTGGATACGAATGAATGGGTTTGAGTAGTGTTTTTCTGGGCTTTTGATTTTGATTTGATTGGCAACAAAACTCATGTCCACTCATCTGCTCTCTTATCCACTGGTTTTGACTATAAAAATAGATACACTTCTTATGCATTGCTTTTCACATCACTTCACTCTCTCGTATAGCGAATACATATAAAAGTATTGATTTTATGTGTCGATACGAAAACTTTCTACTCTTATATATACTTCTAATTGAAATGCTTGACCCAAACGGACGGATAGAATGGATATTTTCCCTAAACGATAGACTTTCTCTCCTTTTCCCTTGCATTGCATAATGCAATCAATAAAAATAGGATATTCTCTCTCTCTCTCTCTCTCTCTCTCTCTCTCTCTCTCTCCCCACTGTTTGTGTGTGTTTTAGGTATAAGTTTTTTACACTAAATTAATCTTTATTTTCTTAAGGCTCCCTTTCTTTCTCTCCCTCCCAATCCATCTCCCAATCCTTTGCCTCCCAATCCACTAATTCCTTTCACTCGCTGTCTGGCGAACCAAACCTTTCTCTCGCAGAATAGGAATATTCTGTTAATTAATTCGTTGCCATTTATTCTTCACATCTCATCTCCCTTTCCCAGTGTTCACGACATATACACCCAAATATTTTTTATACACAATGAACTGATCTCTCTTTTCTCTATTACTTTTCATTCAATAATTTCATACATTTTTTATTATTCCTGGCTATTACTCGAGGTATGTAAGTGTGTATCCAATGGTTGTAATCCATCCATAAATGCAATATAACATACATTTGAAGTAACTCTCGTGAGAGTCAAGACAACAATTTTTCTCCTTTTTCGGAGCAAATATTTCTTTTCCTTTTATTTGATTCATACTTTTGTATATAAGAGTCTGTCATATGATATACGAGTTTATGAAAATGGATTTCTTTGAGACATTAAATTGAATTTTTTGAATATCTATATTTCTCATAGACTTGTTTTATGGCATAATTGACAAACTGTTTTGTTAGATAAATGGCTGTATGTACTGTACGTATCGATTTGAACTGATACTGTAATTGACTGAAAAGTTTAATCTTTTGTTTGTGATCTCTAATGAGCTCTTCATGTGTGTCTGTCCTTCAAAAGCCATTATAAATGTTTTGTCTTTACTTATTGATAGTATTATGAGATTAAATTATAAATTATAAAAATGTTATCAATTATGAGTTATATAAAAGCTATTTTTCAAAGCCATTTGAATAGCTCTCTCTCTCTCTCTCTCTCTCTCTGTATATTTGAGATAATTTTTTTTATAGATATTGTATCTGTTTTCACAAATAATATAAGAATTTGTTTGCATCGCTCTAATGATAATTGATTTAAAGAATTTTGTTTTTATATTAGTTTTTGTGTTCATATGTTAGACATAATGTCTTGAATTTAATCTTAATTTAATATTTTCTCATTTATTTCTATTAAATTAAATATGATTCACCAAAATGTATTCACAAAACTTAATGCACTTTTTTATTTATAGACTGAAAACATAAATAAAAGTATTTTTTGTATAATTAATGTCTTGGAAAACATTCTGACCTTTAATTCTGATGCAAAAGATGTTTTTGCAGTGAATTCACTGATTAATAATTCATGTATTAATCACTCAAAAACGATATTTTATAATAATTCGCTTCAATTAAAAGTACTGAAAGTAGGTTTCAGTTTGAATATTGAAGTTTTCAGTATTTTTTTCGCGATGAATTATTTAATGAAAGTATTATGAATTGAAACATATTTTACAATAAAAATGATTATACAAATAATTAAAATCTGAAGCCATTGCGAGCGCACACAAACATTAACGTTACACAAACCCCTGAGTCTAATAAAAAATTAAATTAATTCTAACATTAAATTACATATTAGTGTAATGTGTATGTGTATTGTGTACAGAACCCGGATATAGTGCTGGTTCACTATCTGAATGTGCCGTACAATGACGACAATAAGGTGATCAGTCCGGCCCTCAATTATTTCGCCGATAATAAGAAGGAGTGGACGAAAGACGAGCTCATCTGTGAGCTGAAGCCTATGTGTAAGAAAGCATTTATTACTTAACAGAAACACAAACCAATAATTCACTACCAGTTAAAGCGATGTAGTAATTACTCTCTAATGGTATGCCATTGAATGCCAATTAATGTCTCTCTGTGTTTGTGGTATTAGTCTTCAGTGAGAACGAGCCCGACCTCAACAACGAGTTGGAGAAGAGTACGGTCGAGACAATTGAGGCCATTGTGGGCCAACTGATGGTCAAACAGAGGGCTAAAGTGAAGGCTCTGGAGGACGCGACCGACACCGGCATTAACGCCAAGGCGTTGACTGTCGTGAACGCCATCACCAACAGTACCCGTGAAGTGAACAAACAGAGTAATGGCAAATCCAATACGACTACCGGCGCCCATAATAAGTGTAAACAGCAGCCGACAGTCATTAATAAGAGGGACGTATCCAACGCTATTATGACTGCACAACAAAACACTAATTCAACGGATAATAACTCTTCAAAACAGTTGACAACTCAGGTCTCGTATTAATGTTCTTGACTTAAGTCCTATTGATTTTCGCGATACAAATCTATTGAACCTTTTTTCTCTGTTGAATAATTCTGTGCTATAGTATTATACTCTAACGTAGCTATATATGCGATGCCTTTCCATTAATGGCCAGACATCTCACAGCGGGTTATCTCTAAAATTGAATTTTAAGAATCCCTTTACCTATAGTTTTGTAGTTAAGTTTTTTTGGAGTGAATTCTTTACTCACTTTTGAGGTCAACCCTATAGTAGAATATTATTCCGCTTTTTTGGTGGCATTAGAATTGAAAAGAGTTTTTATTTTTCGATTCCTTTTTCTGTTTTTGTTTTTCAAGTTTTCAAGTAAAGAATTTTGAAGTTCTTTACATTGAATTCATTATTGATTTTATCATTTAATTAGAGTTTTAAAACTCATGAAAAGAGACTTATTTTTAAAACCATTTCTAAAGAATAGCTTTGCAATGGTTTTACTCACATGATATGTAAATACTTAAATGATATTTAATCCGCCAAAACGTTATTTCATTAGAAACTAATTAATTATATATTTTTGACTGCATTTGAAAGCATTCTTCGAAAAACAGATTTAAAATTTGGAGCATTTGTTAATTAAAAGCGACATTAACTACAGTATACACAAAAGCCCGACCATATAATGTCTATTTGTGGTAATGACGGTCTATTATGCATATTATAGGGAACGGTACAATTGTTACAACTGGCGAACTCTGGTCAGACAGCTATCCGGACGACCAGTGCCAACAGCACCCACTCTAGTCAGTCGGCGGGCCCGACGTCTCTGATATTCAATTTATCAAACTTATCTCAATTTCAATCCGGTTCTGGCCTTTTGATTCTCAATTCGCCCCAAACTCATGGCCAGAACCAAAGGCCTACCGATTCGGCTCAACAGCTAACGGCGCCGTTGACGCTCGTGTACGGCAGGCCTAACCCTAACGGCACCGCCAATTGTGTGGAGTCGGCTTCCATTCCAAATGTGATCTGTTCTACCAATAAATCTCTTAATAGCATGTCTTCTACTAAACTGAATGGCGAACTGACCATCGATTCCATTGCACACCACCAGACCATCACCACCACCACGACTACCGCTTTAGAGAATCGTTTGAATCATTTAAATCATTTGAATTCTTTACATATATTGAATAATCATAACATAAACGGCATTCAAATCAAGAAAGAGTATGAGATTAACGGCAATAACGCCAATAATTCTAGTGATAGTGAGACCTCTGATGAGATTACTAACGATAAGGGCATTTGTGTCGACAATTCTGGTAATTTGAAGAGTTTTATTGATTTGATGAGTTTTATTATAATTTGATTTTTCCTTTTTTAGCTCCAAATTCGATAACCTATTCCGAAGAGTCAATGATTGTGAACAGCAATCCCTCGACACCCGAACACATGAAGTCTAACCTATTGAGCGCCGGTGGGGATCAGACCACCAGCTCAGGCGTTGACCTCAATTGCAATCACCTGAACCATTCCCAACCTCAACAGCTCCCACTCACCCATAACCATAACTACAGTTATAATCAATACTTCAATAACATTAATAACAACAATGAGTTAAATAATAGAAATCAAACGAATATCAATACAAATCAAACTAATGGTCTAATGAATTATGAGATGGATAACGACCTCAACCCCATGGACTTCATTGACAATGACATACCGACGCCCGACGAGACGCTCTTCAATTTGGATACGTTTGACATATTGGGTGATATCGACGACCATTTGGACGAATTGTCGCAGACATCCAATTACCGCAATTCAAACCTAAACCAAACCCAAACCAAAACTATTAAATCCGATTCTTCCGCAACCATTAGCTCTGCACAAGATTATCGCGAGATTACCGCTAATATCACCGATTATTCGCCCGAATGGTGTTATCCGGAAGGTATACATGCAGTCACTGTTGTAGTTGAAAACAATTATTACAAATATGATGTGATTTATAGGTGGAATTAAGGTGTTGGTGGCCGGACCTTACTTTACCAATAACTACAGATATACTATACTGTTTGATGGCGTGTCAGTCACTACACATTTAGTACAAAACGGTTTACTCCGGTGTTATAGTCCCGAACACGAGCCCGGATTCGTGACATTACAAGTAGCCTGCGATGGCGTTATTATCTCCAATTCAGTCATCTTTGAATATAGAGATCACCCAACGGTTCCCATGCAGAAGTCGGAGGATTACTTCTCTGTTGATGGTGTGCTTTAACTGATTACTGATTATGAAAATTTAATTTACAATTAATGTCTTTTCTATGATTTGTTAACAGAAAACATATTCAAGTTTTCACTGTTAGAACGGTTCGAGTTATTAGAATCTCGGTTATCTCAATGCTCTTCAAAACGTGGACTTACGGTATGTTTGATTCATTCATTCATTCATTCATTCATTTATAGATTCAAGTATTAGTTATAATGTATTAAATCTGTGTTTTTATCTCAAATAGGGTATGGAATCGACTAAACAATTCACTTGTTTTGAGGACCGACTTGTGGTGATGTGCACAGAGATGGCCAGTTGTTCGTGGCTTCCAGTAGACGAGTCTAGTCTGACGACACAGTCGTTGCGGACGGGGCTGTCGAACCGGGACATGTCGTTAATACATTTGGCGGCTGCACTCAACTATTATAAACTAATCCAATGTCTACTTAAATGGCGTAAAGAGAATCCGTCGCCAATACTAGAGCTAGAAATCGATGCCTTTTCTTGTGATGATAACGAGTGCACACCACTCATGTGGTCGTGCGCTAAGGGATACTACGAGTCCTCTGTACTGCTGTACACGTGGAACAGAGCGGCCATTAATTTATGCAACAAAACGGGTGAATCGCCCCTTCAGTTGGCCCGAAGGAAAGGCCACCAAAAGGTCGTCAATGAGATCGAGCGCCTCGAATGCCAGCAGTCGTCTCATCCGCACATACCTGACCTTAATTGTGATGATTTGATGACTGGTTTTAGTAACAATATCTTCCGAAAGCCTCGCAAAGCCAGTCTCGATATACCGGCGCTGAACAGGACGATGAAGAATACGAGCCCATCGACTGTGAAACGGGGCTCAGCCTGTCTTCAGCACGGATTGAATTCCTTCCCAAAACTCGTTAAATGCTTTTCAGCCGATTCCTCACTCACTAACCATTTGACACTTAATGTAAGCAAATATTTTGTGATTTAATGTTTGACTTATTGTTTGGTTTTTGGCACTTCAGGACCAACTGAACACTGATCCGACATTTCTGTCGTCTTGTATATCGGACAGCGAAGACGATCTGGAAATGTCGACCTCCTGTTCGACGAATGGCTTATCTTCCAGTCATAGAGACTCAATCGGTTCCTGTGATATCCTTATGGATGGCAACGGCTCCGAGTCTTCGCGTGTGTTGACTCTCGCCGAGCATATAATCGCCGCAATGCCCGACAGGATTAAGGTTTGCATTCAGTGTTCAATTAATTGACAAAACAATCATTTGTATGGATTATCTCATGAAAGGCGGCGTCAATCGCTTCCCTTCCCGATGAGGAGTTTGATGACGACTACTACGAAGACAATGAGAATTCTGGCGAAGACATCAACGACTTTAACGACTGCGAGGGTCACGCGAATCATAGTCACAGCCAAATGGGCGACAATTTCTGTAGCTTTTCGTTTGAGATCAACGATAACTACAACTATAGGGAGGCCAACACCCCCACCAACTCGTCGCCCGCGAGCTCCTCATGCCTTCACAGCCCCTCATCCTTCCAATTGGAGTCTCCGTCTCCACCGCCAACGGCTGCCGACTTCTGTGAGTTCTTTCAGGCGTCCGGAAAGATAACCAAAGAGTTGGGAGATCTCACTCTTACGGACAAAGAGCAACGAGAGCTCTATGAGGCGGCAAAAGTGATTCAAAAGGCCTACCGTTCCTACAAAGGTATGAAATTGAGTTGAATTTGTAAAATGTTTATTGAATTTCGATGTTTGTTATGAACTTTTAGGTAGAAAACGATTAGAAGAGCAGAACAAAGGGTGCGATAAAGACAAGGAAAGAGTGGCCGCTGTTCTCATACAGAGTTATTACCGGCGATACAAACAATACATTTACTACAAACAGATGACAAAAGCGGCTCAAGTCATACAGAATCAGTACCGCAACTATTGTGAACACAAACGCTTCAAGAAGTCTTCGTGCACTCCGAAGCCCTACGCCATGGTGTCGGGCGTCGACAGCAGCGGACAGTCCGTTGTCAACAATTTTATTTGTAATAATTACGATTGCGATCCAATGCAGTGTAAAAGTTCCAGAGAGGGCACGCCTTTCAGTGGTCTTAAGTATGAATTAAATGACAAGTTTGTGTAGTGGACAGGCATTCAATTTGATTACATTTACCAGAAGGACGTACTCCTCCCGGCGCCGCAATCAAGCGGCCCGTAAAATACAACAGTTTATGAGGCAATCAAAAAATAAGTACGTATTTGTCGTATGATTTTAAATTATATTTAGTTATTTATTTCATTATTTTGATATTATTTTTAGTAAAATATATAAATTTAATTTAGATTTTATTTATTATATGGTTTTGTGTCATAACTTGCGAACCAATTCCTTCATTGTTTTATACTTTTAATTGTTTTTCTTTACGTTTAATTTATTTGTTTTTGTTTTTCTAACTCTTTTTATGATAACAAATGGTTATATTGTGTAACGATTTGTTTGCTTTTTAAGCCGTTATTCTATGCCATAAAACAACTGAAAACTGATTCTCTATTTTCTCTCTTCTCTCTGTGCTATTAACCAAACCTTTAATACTAACCACAAAAGTATTTGGGATTTTAGTTTTTCTAATAATAATGCGGTGAGTAATCAATAAAATAATACATCTATTGTTTAAACACTTATTTGTTTGTGTTGTGAATATTCTGTGCCGTATATCCTTACGTTTAATTTCTAATTTAT